AAATAGTCAAGTAATTTGGTTGTTGACGTCATGCATACAAACAATGACTTCTCATGCTCGAGCAAGGGTCTAAAAAATTAGACACTCTTACAAGCGAGTCAGTCACATCTCTCGATTATGAATCTATGCATAAGCATTTTTGCATTTGACTTGTTTATATCTGAGAGCATTGACGTTGTGACCATATAGTTTGGGACCAGAGTTTTAGTAAGAATGTTATCAGCGTAAAAGAAATAAGAAGAGAAAGTGGTGGCACGAACATGTTGTTGAAAAAATGATCCGGATAGCGACTGCCATTTCTCCTTCTTCTCGACCATCATCCTTCAAGAGTAAAAGCATTCTTGTAGTTTCGCAGCTCTATGAATCTATGCGGTCTATTAACAAGTGCTCTCGTATCTGGAAGAAAAATATACCTTTGTTTTACGCCGCCATTTCTGTGGCTGCTTACAAATGAGAATACAGCCGTAAGCGGAGGAGATGAGATGGCTCGGTTGTTACGCGCTTAATACAATTTACTGATGAAGAATCATATATGCGTAAGTAAAATCACGCGTATAATGATATTATTGCATCGTTTACTCACACATTCTTTAAAACCTCGTGCCACGCCAACTCTTACCAACAAAAGTAAGCTGACTGATGCAATTGGCAATCTGCATTGTATATGTGTATATGTGTATAGCACGATGTGCCACATAAATTATTTATGCAGGTTACGCGACAGAGATAATGCGAGGATGATAACTAAAATGATAAAAGGGTCATTCTTCGCCTGTAAGCGCGAGGGAGAAGTAACGCAAGCTCAATCGCCATTGACAAGGTGGAATCCGTTTACGAAAAACGAATGGTCAAGAGGAAAGTGGTACTTTTTGAAACCGGAGAATAGCGGGAAAAAAGGCATCCTACTTGCAATACCAGCGCGTTATAAAATATCGTATAAACCTTTTTGAACCAAGCTTTGACAACGCGAATCCGCAGCAGTCGGTCAGGTCAAGCTTGACTTGAAGTCAAGCGTGTCTCAATTGCTGCCGTTGATGGCCATTTGTTTCAAACGAATCGTGCATCGCAGAACTGAAAAACACGGATGCCAACCTCGTTTCTTTCTTTTAAGAACAATAGCAGGGTCTGTGCGTAGAGAGCACGGTGTCAAAGAGCTGCCACCGCTTTATATGCACTTATAAAAGATCCTAAATCTCAATCAGTACATTCACAAACAAAGTACAAAAGTACATCACAAGGTCGATCAGTACGCGAGAGATTTTCTTTGTGAAATGGGACGTCATTACCCAACGAAAGATTAACTTTCCGTTATAATAATAATCGAACATAGAAAGCTTCTCTTGTTGATTATTATCTTTTTGTCATTTTCTTATTGTATTTTAAAGAGAAACCCTCTTTTCTAGGAAGTTCCAATAGAAAAAGAGGGGAAAAACTCCTGCTGTCTCTTTTTTCCAGGAAAACAACAAAACCTGATCGAAGACGCAGGTAGTGAATGGTCGCTACGCAATGAGAGACCTTCGCCATTCACTAGTGGCGCCCGTGCCGTGTGTGCCCACAACGTCAACTAAGCACAAAGACGCCTCAAGGTTGTTGTATTACGTTGATGCAGCCCTAGGGCATGCTTCCAACAACCTTGCTACCGTTGAAGCATCTTTCGGGTTAAAACATCCACCTCGACTCGGCAGATAGCTTTCCAAGTCAAGGATTCACACAACACTTTGCGCTTCATAAAGTTTGTGTAAATGGAACTGGAGAAGAAAAAAAAATGGGAGGGGTGGGGGGGTTTTGGTATTCTTATCCAGACAATTTTTTGCCGTCACGCTCGGGTCTTCAATGAAATCCATCATGTTGATTGGCTCTCATTTGTAAGACTCTGGTTGGCTCATTTTATGGACCGCTTATATCATATGACGCAACTTGGCCCAAAAGCAAAGGGAAGGCGAAGGAGATGTGTAAGTGATAGTCGTCGTGAAGAAGTCAAATACGCTACAGCAGCAGTGATCGACATGCTATGTATGTTTCACCATGCCGATGTACCCTCCGATACTGTCGCCGCTTATTTTGGAAAGAAGTCAGTGCACGCACCCGGCCTCCGCGTCAAATACAGGTACGTTTCGAATGCCAACTTGTTCAATGAGTACGCAAGAAAAAAAAAGATGCGACTGAACAACTCAATTAGAAATGACAAGGAAGAAAGACAGAATGCCAACGATGATTAAGAACAACGGATGAGTGCTCGTGTGCGATCTGGGAAGCAGTAACTACTGCTGAATTTCCAAGGACTCGTATCATTTGCCCTGGCGGACCAAATATCTACAAGTGATAATGTGGATTTTGTTCGACCCATGGAGTATTCTGCTGAAAGTTCGCTCGACGCAATTCCATTCCACTTTTTTATAGGTTGCTGACTTGTATCTTTGCCTATTCAAATATAAAAAAATATCTCTTGTAACACAGTCAGTATTAGCATAGCAAAGTCGTCGTCACTTTTATTTCAACAACACAAACTCACTTCTCAACGTCTGTTAGTGAAGATACTGTTTAACGAGATTTCGAAGCAAACTTTGTTCTTGCTGCAATGGCAAATGATTGCTGGATTTTACTAAATCGTTTGGAAAGGCGGAAAGGACACTGCTTAGAAAGTTTGAGTCGCGTCTCAAGCTTTTGAATGGAATTACAGCTCAGCAAAACAAATAATAACTAGAGCAAGTACCATTATTGGCAATCACGACCTTTAGTATTATCTCTCGAATACAGGTACATACACATCAGCACACAAGAAGTATAGAATATCCTAGAATTACTGTAAACAATCCAAAATAAGTGGTGGAGAAGAAGAAGACGATAGTCCCATATACATCCAAGCTCATCATTTGGAAACTTTAAACCCGAAACCAGACTAAACCCAGACCAGGACTTGCGCGTTCGCCTAAACCTGCTCACTCACTGGCGTTCGCTGCCAGGCCCCACAATTCGTTGCGAGCTACTCGCCCTTCTTTTCAACCTATTGAGTGACTTAATTCATCACTATGTCCTATATTTATTAGTAACGTAGCTGCTTGATATCATGACAATGCAGTAAGATATTTTGGATCGCGTGGGCAATGTATTAGGAAGAAGCCTGCATACCAGCGAAAATGCTGCTGTTTCCTTTTTTTTTCACAAACATCATCCTATCTTCAACTTGAGAATCCAGTGTCTCTTACACAGAAAGTACACAGACCGGTCTTTTTTATTCCATTGCAATCAAATAGCGTTATCCCTTCATTACTATAGCAACAGCAGAAATAGTAAAGATGACATACCGATTAATTTTGTCTAGATAGTCTGCTGGATCGAAGCCTGGATGTGTGCAGTAAATGTTATGAGTAGGATTGCCTGTTTCCTTTTGGTCCTGAGAAATGGGTTCCAAAGTGATTGGTGCTGTTGCTGTTCGGTGTTATGGGATGATATATACATCTTTACTTGAATGTTGATAAATTGCACCAACGTCATAATCAAAAAATTAGCGCTGGATACCGTCTTTGTTTTTATGGTGCTGTGTAACCCTTCTTTTCTTCACGTGATGGAAGAAAATATATCGGCTGGCATAGAACATATTCAAACGAGTTCGTCTGTATTTGCAGTGGTGTTGCTAATATTAAAAAATGCCGATTTTGACAGCGATTGACTGACCACTGACAATTGTGTAAAATGTGTGTTGTATATTCGTTCGTCAAAGTTTTTATACAAGTTCGAGTGCTGTGAGTACAATTGCCGCCTTAATGTGTCACTTTGGTATGATAAAAACGCGTGGTCAACAACTCTGTATATATTATATCGTTACAGACGAGATGATCTGCTAATCGTCGTCCAGAGAAATCGTTGTATGCAAACGTTCGTGAGAAGCACACGGTCTCAGTGACACCAGTAGAATGGTATGTTGAGTTGTCAGAGGTGCTTGTACGATCGATGGTGTGGAGCGTTCGTGATATTCATGCTTTTGTTTGGTAAAGAGGAAAAAGAGTAGAGATGTGCTGTTCTTTTTCAGCAGCACAGTCACTCAAAGACAGCACGATCATGGTTCACCGTCATATTCATATGTCGTTGTTCGACTATCCATATATACATGCTGGTAATCAAGCCAAGTTATAAAATAGAGATCCTTCTGTTTCTATTTCTTTTACCAGTGCTCTCACACAATCCGTCGTATCAGTAATCCGACAAAAGAACTGCCGTTCACAGCACATCTTCTAACCCGCTCAAAAAGTATTTTTTCTTTTTTAAATTGATCGTCTTTATTAAAGAATTCTATTCTTCTAGTCCAACACTGTTGCCTTCAGCAAACAAAGACCGGCACTCTGAAATATATATCCACATCACTCATCCACCACACCCATCCACAACCAGCATGCTCGACACAATTAAACTAAGCACAGCATACTCTGCCCAGCAATCACTCTTGACCACTTACCTGGATCCTCACACGAAGCAATGATACAAAGACGTAGTATCTACATTATAAGGACAGCCTCAAATTAGAAAATGGCTCAAGCTGATCCAGCAATACACATACATCAAAAAGTAAAGTACCTTATCACACCAACGGTCAATGGTCTTGCATCTGTTCCATAAACAAACAGAATAACCTGCCCATCCAAATTCCTCTGCCACCGTCGCCAATACCCACAATGCCTGCCGTCAACGATCGCGCGTGTACATGCACTTGTTCATCCTATCAATCATTCTTGCTTTTTAATAAAACAATCCACAAGTGCTGACCAGCTAATATAAAGGAAGATCTTAAATTAGAAAAACTTACCATGTGGATCATAATTTCGGCAAGCACAGCAGGAGCCTACAACGGAATCGCATGTGACAGAAAAAAGCAAGTTCATCCATGGAGAGCCACAGCAACCAACACAGTCTCAGCCTTGATCTTGATAAATCCAAAACGGCGGATGAAGGCATACAGCTTAAGCATACACAGGAAAGCTATGAGAAGAACAGGTCGTCCGTTGAAGCGGCAGAGCAGCATCCATGCACAGCATCTTTGGCAAGCACGGGAAAACCAAAAACAAGTCCGTCCAGCAAAGGGCCTTGGAAACAAAGACGCCAAGTAGAGCCACAAAATACGTCCGGCAGAGTTCAAGACACCCAAGGAAAAGAATTGTCTGTACAATGAGTAGAATATCCAACACGTCCAAGATCTTAGATGGCGAGATATTGCGAGATGAGCAAGTCAAGGTATACAACAGCCAAAAAAAAAAACCAGAGTGAGCGCGAATACGTATTGCAGGTAACAGAGCAACAAGGGCGCCATATACGAGAGCAGAATAGCGTCACTACAGATGGCAGCCAGCACGATTGACGGTAGTGACAGGAAAAAGCAACGTTCTGTTGACGGCAAGGACAGAGCACACGTAGCAAGTGAAGGTGCAAAGACGTAATGTTCGAATGGCGTAAAGCGAGATGGAGCTAGGTGACCAGATGGTTATGAAGGACGTCGAAAGAAGCAATGTTGAGCAATAGTAAACAACAAAAGAACTTTGGTAAAAAAAAAAAGGCAAAGTAGAAAGTAAAGTAGGAAAAAGAGGGAAGAAATGAAAAGCGTCACCCCTTGTTTCAAGTATTTATATCGTCCTGGGGCCCCGAGCCAGCAGAGCATTGGACCACTGGAAGAAGTGCTTTCCCACATGCAGTGGTGACCATGACAACCGCCCTTTTCATGCTTTCTTTCCTTACTGCTTGTGCTACGCTCTTCCTTTTCCATTCCTCCTTTTCCTTTTCGCTACTTCTTGTTTACGCTTTCACGCCGTCACTCCACTCGGCTAGTTCTTTCTTTTTTACTTGTGCTACGTTCTTTCCTTTTCGTTTCTGCGGTTCCCTTTTCGTCACCGCGGTTTCCTTTTCGTCATTCATCCAAACGGGTTTGTCATTGTCACTTTGCTTTACCCTGCTTAATAATGCCTGACATGGGTTTCTACGAAGGTCATTTAAAAGCATCGATCATGCACGTCCTCCGAAAAGACACAAGAGCAGTGCGCGCTATGAGCATTCGCAACGGATTATCTGTAGAAATGATAATCTGTAAAGTAACTGGTCCTGTCCTGTAAAACTCCCAAACATTTTGAACATCAACAACGACAGCAGCAATCCCATGTCTACGATTACGGTCACTTTCCCCCGAAACCACCCTCTCCTCAAGTCGAAATGCTACTGCTGTCTCCCCTGTCGCAACTGCCGACCAAAAAAAAAGACGAAAGGTGCTTAGTGGCGCAATGACGAGGATCAGCTCTTGGTCCAAGCCTGCCTTCTCGTCGACAAGGATGAAAAAGTTGACATCAACCAAGATTTTAAAAACCTTTTGGCAACGCGTTTTTGAAGAGTTTGAAAAAGGCGGCAATGACAAAAACCGCACCCCCGAAACTTGTCAAGGTCGTTGGAAATCATCAGCGCACAAATCGCGAGATATGCAGCGGCCCCGGCCTTTATCGAGAGAGGGCCACCAAAAGTGACGAGACCGATGGTGACAGGGTAGTCCTTTGCACAAGAATATGCATATTACAGATTCGAGAAGTTCCTTTAAGTTCCTATAATAGAAACAGCGCATAATCGAGAGGTACAACGGCAAAGTTGAAGCACGGTATAGGCCGTTCAAGATGGCTCTTGCTAGCCTCTGCTGAAGGATGAGCAGAAATTTGAGTTTATCAGCGACAAGGCCAACGAGGTCAGCGTGGATGGCGAGAAGGATGTGCGGCCCATTGGTAATAAGAAAGCCAAGGCTCTGAAGAGACGACACGCCGAAGACGACGATCTCGAGAGCCTGGCTGGTGAACAGGTGAAGCTCGCCCGTCTGGAGGTCGTCGAGGAAGGAAAGAGTAGGAGACTTTTGGAGAAATGCTGGAGGAGGCGCAAAAGGCGAATGAAGAGGCGCAACTGGCAAGGATTTGGATTCTCTTAGTCTTGCTCACGATGGTACTACGAGAAGAAGCAACAGGAGATCGTTAAAGAATGAGAGAAGAAGAGATGGAGAAGAATGTGGTGCAGGAAGGAGAGCCGGCAGACGGTTCGGAGGAAGAGAGAGATCGTTGACGAGGTCGTCGAAAGAACTTGGTGCATGGATATCTCCGATTCTTCATTTGGTATTAAATCAATACCATCAACGCCACATGTCTCCTCGTGAGTATTCAATATCGCGGCATCAAGCTCATCAGATATTAGCCTTTCAGCTTCTTCTGCAACATTTGATTGTTTCCTGTGAGACTAACTCCCAAAGCATCTCTGGCCCTTTGCATGGCAGTAAGCTGATCTACATCATAGAGTTTGCCGAGTTGATTCTTCCGATCTTTTTGATTCGCATCACGGTATTGCATGGCCCTGCAGTATCTTTGCTGCAGTGGTTCCTCGGTTAATAAGGCCAAAATATTAACGTTTGTTGTTGGGTTCAATTCTATTGTCTATGAACTTACCGATATTGAGGCGACGTTACTGTCTTTGTTTGATTTATCGAACTTGTTTGTTTCTGTTGGGGACATTCTTAATATATACAATGCGAACGTTAATAGCATTTGAAGCGGAATATGGATAGCAACCGGAGCACATTATTGAACAATTGTTGTGATTTAGTTGACTGAGAGCGTACAGTGGAAGGCTGTCATTCATTAATGCGCAATATTGGAAAATACGGCGGATTCGAATTTCATCAGTGCATCCGCATATCCGGATCGGGTGCGCATGGCCCTTATATCCGATCTGATGCGATACATGAAGAACGCTAGTGAAATCTTGAGGGAAATAACAGCAGTCATTAATGACGGAACAAAGAATGAGTGTTATCAGCCTTGTTGGATACAACAAGTAGACTGTCACGCTAGTTTAGAAAAACCATTTTCTCAACGCCAGTATAATGAGAAGATATAGGTTTTTCGTTTGTGTGAAGGCGGAAGGAGGGATAAAAGGTAGGACAGGAGAAAAAAGTAAGCATGTCGTGCTGCTGATACATGGAACCTGTCTGTGAGTCACATAAACCGACGTACATAACAAAGCGACTTGTGTACTAGCACGTTTTTTCCTGAAGCAAAAAAGTATACAGTGGTCCCCCAACATAGCAAATCGGCAAAAGTGTTGAAGCAGTGGAAAAACAGTAGAAGCGAAATTGTTTTGGAAGGATGTATAAACACAAACAAGAGAATTTTCCAGAAAAGCACCGGAAAAGGAAAATGTTCAATATCTTTGCGGATTTTCTTGTGGTTTTAGAAAAAAATGAGGTTGGATAAGTTACTAAGATGAAAATGAAGTACAAGAAGAGCAGAGCAAAGTTGACTTAGGAAGTTTGGAAAGTTGAGTGGGGCACTAAGTGAAAAGAATTGGGGGGGGGTATGACGTTATAGGCGGTGGTCAGGACGAAGCGGCAGAGGTTCGGCGTATGGCAAACAAAAGAGATCGTGTTTATAGCGAGGGTTATGAAGAAAGGCAACGGAGCTTTTATTTCGAGAGCGTGAATGTGTATGATGAGAGCTGACAGGGCGATAAGAGGATATGTAGCATGTAGCGGAAATAATACAGGAACGAGATCAGGACACCCGTTAATTTCCAACTTGAAATTCCCAAATGATAATTGTGAAAGTCAACGGATGCTAGGACACAATAGCTGTGTACGGATATTCGTTATCAAGACGCATCTTAATGCTACATAGATTACCAACGCTCATGAAGTTGTCACAATATAGGAATCGTAATTCGCATAGCCCATTATCCAATACATTTTCTGGCTGTATTGACTTTTTCCCACATACATAATAATAAAATATACACCGAAAGAAGAGACAATGGGAGACCAAGAAGCATTTGGTAAATCAGCGACTGCTTGCCGCCCAGTAGTATCACCGGAAATCAGAAAAATTATATACAGGGATAGGCATATCTCTGTTACTTATATCCTTTTGAATTATTCTATCATATAAAAGAACTTGAAGTCATAAGGAGAGGGATGAATATTTGTTTTCTATTGAAATATTCTATAAATATAAGATAAACGATAACTTGTTCATGAATATTAAACTAACTTTTTGGATTCCTTGACCTCCGATGGAGAGGAAGAGATTATACCTAGTCTCCCTTCTAAACTACGGAAGTTACGCGGGAAGCTTCAAGAAAAACTGTTTGCTAGACAAAGCTCTTTAGACAGCTTTCTTTTTTGTTTTTTATGATATTCGCTTTAATTCAACCGAAATTAATAATGTGCAGCGCTTTATTTATTTAAAGCATATATGGAGGAGCACTTTGTATTATAACGCGATTAACCCTGGATGATACATTGAAAGTGAAATAAACGGGGGTTTGAAATTTACCATGTTATTTTTACCGTTCCCAAAAATTTTGTTAACGGATGTGCAATGAAAGGGGGTATACTGTATTGTGATTATAAACAAGTTGGGTGGAAGAAGAGAGCCAAGGCTCAATGATTGAGAAAGGCATTAATGTCTAGAGGTCAACAACGTGTACAAGATTATTGGACAGACACAAAGAATTATTATTGTACGAAGAGTGAAATCATATTTTTATTCATGGAAAGAAAGAAGACAACTATGGAGAAACAAAGACTACAAGCAAATAAGGCCAGCAAGCGACATGAACAGACAGAAGCTAGCTAAATCAGAGGTACCAATGGCGCTTCCATGATATCGTCACGAGACATATAAAACAGAAGCCCAGCAACGAGCTTACATAGACCATCGTAAAGGCGAGCGACAGGGAACTGGCCAGCAACAGCTGTGTGTCCATGACAGCATAGGCACCGTGACAACCCGATAAGCATGACCACTTATAACATGGCAACAGTAATCAAGTTCTCCGATCAAGGTCAGCGCACCCTAGTCGAAGGTACTGGGTGCAAGTGCAGAACGACATCTACTTTGAATTCACAACGGGTATAGAGAACTTGGTACAGAGTTGGTCCTTGATGTACACAAACTTGTGAGTAAACCACCAATTATGTAGCGCTCAAATTCATTTTTAAACCAACTCAACTAATGATGCATATCAATACAAGTCATACTTGAATGGTGACGCGTTAAATGTCATTGCGGCTGAACAGAACAGCGAACCCAAGCAGCAACGTAATCTGTTTACCTGCGCCATACCGACGACCCTACTGCATGACTGTAATTAGATAGATATGCCAGCTGGAAGATCTGAAAAACGCTGTTGGCATGTAATATGAAGGACCGTGAATCTATCAACAACAGTGAGTGGCCGACTCTTCGCCATTGTGCTATCAACGTCTCAGTGCGCACATCCACAATAAGGGGCCCAAAAAAGCTTGAACACACCTTGAATTGGTTGACTACCACAGTACATGGTTGACGACGCCGGTCGGCTTAGGGTGTGTACGGACAGTCGTTTGACGTGATGACAACTGAGCGTCGTATAGAGCGGGTTTTCCACTCATCGAGTGTCAAAAAGATCTGACCCTACGATGATTGTGAAGGATGAAAAGAAAACAGTACGAAAGAATGGTGAAGAATGTAAAAAGAAAGATAAACGGAGAACAGAGAAGACATGGTAATTTAGGATGTAAACGCTGAGTCATTGTCTCTGATAGATTGCGGCATTTTCATCGAAACCTAATAGGGCCCATCTTTCGTAACAAGAACAGCAACATATCATCGGTTATCTATGACACTATGTGTGTGGTACTATATATTATTTATGTCGCGTGACAACAATCGATGCCAAGTATTTACCGTACTTGCACTTGATAAACAAACAACGGCCCCTTCAAACGCCACAAAAAAGATAGTTTGTACTGTGCCACCAGTCAAAAATCTGTCGTCCAGTCTTGCATAAACAAAATGAAACAGTGCGTGATCATAGTGCGACTGCAATTCGAAAACTTATTTTCTAAAAGAGAAGAGATTCTAAAAGAGAAGAGAAAGACAGTATATTTAGTTGGGGTATCCGGCTATCTAGCAGTGGGGAAAATCAAGACATAGCCAGTTCAGAATTGACCATAAACAAACCGTAGTCAACCGCGGAGTTGCCACTGCTCTTCGAAACAAGCCTTTAAAAACACAAACAAAAGTAAAACACCTCAACCATCAACGTTTCAACATAATAAACAAAGAACTTCTTATTCGAATGTAAACAAAAGCAACACGGTTAGAATCATAGGGATGAAAAATACAGGATGGCTCACCTTGTTTCATTGGTTGATAAACAGCTGGTGAAGGAAGCGGTTGTTTGTCAAAGCTCGGATGAAGTCCAAGGGAACTAGGTCGTGTGCCAAATGCGGAAAGGCTTCATATGAGCTTAAATGATTATCAGACATGTTGATAGTAAGTCCACCGAAGCCTCTGATAATAAATACACCGTAGTACTATCAGTAAACAATTGATGTGAAAGAATGTTCGCACAAGATTATAGTTGGTAACCTGGACAAGAGACACTTGTTCAATGAACGGCCATAATCCGATATGCGCCGACGACATTCATCCATAGCTCTATGTCGTTCGTATCACTTAAAGAAACTTGTAGCCGGCGACGGCCATTCTGTGATCTTATAAGCTACCATTATTCACAAAGAAAAAGGCGGCTGTTAAAGGTATCAACACCGCTACCTTGTAACAAATTATCTTATCAACAAAGACAAAAAATAAATCTGGAAGTGGTAGGTGGAAAGGAGGCAATGGCGGGTAAAAGCGGATAGTGTTAGGAATGCGATCCAATAAGAAGTGTAGAAAGAAAAAGCTTATCCCCAGGAAGACCGGTATCACGCGTTCAAGGGGCAACAGGCGGTGCGTGTATA